AATTAGAGCCGTCTGTGCAAATTAGCATTTTTGTGGATGAATTCCTGTTTATTTCTTAATATGAAACATTTGATAACAAACGCTACAGTACAGCTTCTGAATAGGCAACATAGTGGAGAGCTGCAACTCTCAGTGAGCACTATAGGTGTCGTTCACTGCACGCACCAGTGTGTGTGAATGGGTGGATGACTGGATGTGTAAAGCGCTTTGGGGTCCTTAGGTACTAGTAAGGCGCTATACAAATACAGGCCATTTACCATTTTTAATTCTGCATCAGTTTATGCATAACCAACAATCACGGAGAACATGAGCGGACAGTTACTATTGATCAAAGCCTAAACACTGGCTCAAACCCGTTTGCGTCTCCAATCACATTCATTTTAGCAAAGCTGCTTGCAGAGAGGAATTAGAGGGCTAAAAGAAATCACTAAACTTGACTAATTTGTTTATTCAATGTTGCTATATCGCTAGGTGGTTAACATTCATCTGTCATGTAGGGACTGGGCTTGTGGGTTCAAAAATGATACAAGTGAACAAAGCCTGAAAGACTTCTACGTGAACTTCCGCTGGAAACATCACGAATCACAAAGACTCCAGATCCCACTCAAAAATCCACATCACATCTTATTTCAAACTAGGAGAAGGAATGCTGGCCAAACTTAACAATACTAGTCCAAGTCGCCTAAAGAAATGTCACAAATGTAAATAACATAAAACACTGTCTGTGAAACTTTGTTACAAGTGCTCTACAGAAACCGGCTCTGCTGGAAAGGGAGGTGCAGTTTGAGAGTTAAGCTCTAGAGACAGAAAGACACAAAGCAGCACTGAGAGGGTGGAGAGAGGAATGTGAGGCGCTGGGATGGTGTGGACGGAGGGAAAACTCTTCCTCTTGTGCTCCGGATCCTCCGCTTCGAGCATTGAATTACACCCACATCTGGACAAAACATCTGCACTACTGAGCCCCAACGCCACTTATATAGGTCATCCATTCAAAGGAGCAGATATGCAAGCAATGACCAAAAGACAACATCAGCAACAACAGAAAAAAAAAAGTATAAAATGCATCAGTGCGGAGAAGGAATTGCTAAGTAACACGCGCTGTAATCCTGTAAACTTTGATTGTAACGATGGCAGTGAAGGATTTAAGAACGCATCTAAAGCACAGAAGAAAACTGAGGAAAGAAACCTGCCTTGAAACGGTTCGCCAAACCGTTTCAGTGGGACATTCTTTGGAAGAAAACACAAGAGTGACTGCCAAGGCACGGAAGTCCCTCTAATTGTTATTCACAGTTGGCTTGACAGCAGTGGTGAAAGCTGGTTTCAGATTTGGCACAAATAAGTGAGGAAACTGCAAAAGCGACACAATAACACACCGACACAGGCTTTCCTTAAACAAAGATCCGTGTAACAACATTTGTCACTGCAGAGTAAGTGGGAGAAGAAAAAAAGGCATCTCATCATTACACACATTAGTAGGGAAATAATCACAAGTGTTATTCGTATTAAACAGGAAATAATTGATTATTGTTATTAATTCACATAATTATCAGGATACTTAAAAAAAAAACAACTATATTTAGGTGGAAGGTCTTTCTGCAGAACACATGAGCTGTTTGAACCCTCAAATGCATCCAGATAACATAATTATGGTCTTTTTTCCCCCAAAATTAATAACAAATGTTGAAAATTTGGAGGAAAGTGTAAAAGTGAATGATCAAAATCATTAATTACAAATACAAATTATTTTGCTAAATAAACTTGCCAATCTTTTAATGGAAATTCTTTTAGGGTGATCTCAAAATTCTCAGAACATGCAAGCACCCCACTTACTTTAAATTGAAACACTATCCTTATTTAAGTTGAGTTTTTACCCTAAATAATAC